GCACCATAGAGGGAGAGGCCGGAAGCATAGTCAGAGGAGAGCGAAGGTCCGATAAATCGAAGGAGTCAGTCGAGGCCTCAGTACCTGAAGCGGGTGAGGAAACAGCACCGGCAAGAGGTACAGAGGCATGAGAAGTGTCTGAAGAGTGGTCCAAAGACGAGGCGGGGTCAGAACGGGGTGCGGTATCAAGAAGGGGCCCGGGGGTAGGAGGTTCATGGACTAGGGCTGCCATGGTTAGGTTACTTCTTTCTTTTTGTTTTTAAGAAAAAAAAAGAAAGAAAATAAAAATAAAAAAAAAGAATAAAAAAAAAAAAGGGGGACCGGGGAGGGATAGTTCCTAGGAGGAATGAAAGGGCCAGAAATCTCCCTCCGCGCCCAAGAGGACCTCAGCACCGCAAGTAGCGCAGATGCAGCATGGAACCCGTGCCATACCCTACCCATCATGCTAGTAAAACTAACAATCTGGGATAGCAACCTCACATCTGCCGAGCTACCTCGGTGGATAAAAGAGAGGGCGGCCGGATATCTGCCACAAAGCATACCTCCTTCAGCCACCACCCCCGGAATCCGAAAGGTGGCTTCCAGAGATACACCCGTCGCCCGAAAGACACCCAAAGCTACTCCGGGATACCGGAGAGGGATCGGGACATCCCCAGGCGATCCAGATTCCACGGCAAACTACGCCACCGCCAAGAACCTCAATGGAATGGGATGGACCCCGGTATCCTTTCCCCTAGCTAGGAACTAGCACACCTGTGGGAGAAATCCCAAAGGCCGAAAAGAGGAAGGGCAAAAGGGAGGGGTGGGGAGGAGGAGGAGGAAAGGAAAAAGGGGAGGATGGGATAGGGGAGGGGAGATTGGGGGGTAATTAGGTTCGGTCTGAGGAAGAAGACCGACAGGTCTAATTCCTCAGACCAAGAGCCTCTTCACCACGCCAAGGAGCCCCCCTTGAAGAGGTACAAAAGCAAAAGACTTGGCAGACGATGCAACATCCCCCTAATGAAAAGCAGGGATGTCACTAGCACGTTAAGAGACCATACAATAAGTGTCAGGGGTCCGAGACTGTTCAACTGCCTCCCAGCATACATAAGGGGGATTACCAACAGACCCCTGGCAGTCTTCAAGCTGGCACTGGACAAGCACCTAAAGTCGGTTCCTGACCAGCCAGGCTGTGGCTCGTACATTGGTTTGCGTGCAGCCAGCAGTAACAGCCTGGTTGATCAGGCTCTGATCCACCAGGAGGCCTGGTCACAGACCGGGCCGCGGGGGCATTGACCCCCGGAACTCTCTCCAGGTAAACTCCAGGATCAGAGTCTGATCAACCAGGCTGTTACTGCTGGTCGCACGCAAGCTGACGTACGAACCATAACCCGGCTGATCAGGTACTGACTTTAGGTGCCTGTCCAGTGCTTTCTTGAAGACAGCCAGGGGTCTATTGGTAATCTTCCTTATGCATGCTGGGAGGCAATCAAACAGTCTTGCACCCCGGACACTTACTGTGTTGTCTCTGTGTAATCGTGGTGCCCCTGCTTTTCATCGGGGAAATGTTGTATCTCCTGCTGAGTCTTTTGCTTTCATAGGGAGTGATGTTCATGTGCAGGTTTGGTACCAATCCCTCCAGGACCTTCCAAGAGTATATTATCATGTATCTCTCTCACCTGCATTCGAGGGAATACAGATCTAGGACCTTCAACCGTTCACAGTAGTTTAGGTGCCTTATCGTGCTTATGTGTGCCGTAAAGTTATTTGTACACTCTCCAGGTCTGCAATATCGCCAGCCATGAAGGGGGCCGTTAGTGTACAGCAGTATTCCAACCTAGAGAGCACAAGCGATTTGAAGAGAATCATCATGGGCTTGGCGTCCCTAGTTTTAAAGGCTCTCATTATCCATCCTATCATTTTCCTAGCAGATGAGGTAGATACATTATTGTGGTCTATGAAGTTGAGATCCTCTGACATTATCACTCCCAGGTCCTTCACATTACTTTTCTGCTCTATTGTATGGTTAGAATTTGTCGTATACCCTGACACATTTTTAATTTCTTCAAGTTTCCCCATATCTGAGTAGTTGAAATTTCTCTTCGTTGAACTTCATATTGTTTTGAGTGGCCCATTCGAAGATTTGGTTGATGTCCGCTTGGAGTCTCGCAGTGTCTTCGATGGAGGTCACTGCCATGGTAATCCGGGTGTCATCTGCAAAGGAAGACACAGAGCTATGGCTTACATCTCTGTCTATGTCAGAAATGAGGATGAGGAATAGAATGGGAGCAAGTACTGTACTGTGCCTTGTGGAACAGAGCTTTTTACCATGGCTGCCTGGGACTTTACTCTGTGTTCTATTTGTCAGGAACTTGTAGATCCATCTACCAACTTTTCCTGTTATTCCTTTATCATGCATTTTGTGTGCTATTACACCATGGTCAAACTTGTCAAAAGCTTTTGCAAAATCTGTGTATACTACATCTGTATTTTGTTTATCCTCTACAGCATCCAGGACCTTGTTATAGTGGTCCAGTAGCTGGAACAGGCAGGAGCGACCTGCTCTAAACCCATGTTGCCCTGGGTTGTGTAATTGATGGGTATCTAGGTGGTTGGTTACCTTGCTTCTTAGAACCCTCTCGAAGATTTTTATGATATGGGATGTTAGTACTATTGATACACAAATAACCCGCACATAAAAGAGAGAAGCTTACGACGACGTTTCGGTCCGACTTGGACCATTGACAAAGTCACACTAACAGAGGTGGAGCAGGACGGCTATATATAGGCAGGAAGAGGTGGAGGTAATAGTAGTAGTAGTAGTAGTAGTACAAGAATTGTATATAATACCGACAAGATGAAATTAAGACACATGCACAACACCCGGGCATCCCCATCGTAGACGTTTCGCCATCCAGCCAGCCAGTGGATGGCGAAACGTCCACAACAAAGACAACCAGACGCCGCACATGTGTCTTAATTTCATCAGTAGTAGTAGTAGTAGAAGAAGAAGATGTAGTAGTAGTGGTAGTGGTAGAAGTGGGAAATAAGGATGACGAGCCAGTCAACACATGTGCGGCGTCTGGTTGTCTTTGTTGTGGACGTTTCGCCATCCAGTGGCTGGCTGGATGGCAAAACGTCTACGATGGGGATGCCCGGGTGTTGTGCATGTGTCTTAATTTCATCTTGTCGGTATTATATACAATTCTTGTACTACTACTACTACTACTACTACTACTACCTCCACCTCTTCCTGCCTATATATAGCCGTCCTGCTCCACCTCTGTTAGTGTGACTTTGTCAATGGTCCAAGTCGGACCGAAACGTCGTCGTAAGCTTCTCTCTTTTATGTGCGGGTTATTTGTGTATCGTTCCAGTCACGGTATTGTGCCTTTTTGTTATTTAGTACTATTGGTCTGTAGTTCTTTGCAATTGCTTTACTGACACCTTTGTGGAGTGGGATGACCCCTGTGTCCATGCTCCCTCTCCATAAAATGCTGAAGGCACACGATAGGGGCTTCTTGCAATTCTTGATGAACACAGAGTTCCACGAGTCTGGGCCTGGGGCAAAGTGCATGGGCATGTCATTAATTGCCTCTTCAAAGTCTTGCGGAGTTAGAATAATATTTGAGATTTTTGGGATGACCAAATTTAGGGTTTCATTCATAAAGAATTCATTTGGATTGTCTGGGAAGTGGCTCGCTGAACACTGAGTCATATTGGGACTTTAGTATCTTACTCATTTCTTGGCTGTCATCTGTGTATGTCCCATCCTGCCTAAGCAGGGGCCCAATACTGCAGTAATAAATAATAAAGGATGGATCTAAAAAAAAAAACCCAAGATAAGATTTGTTTGGATTTTTAACCTAGAGAGTTAGTCACCCAAGGAAGTCAGTGGATCATTGAGGACTGTGTCCTATTTCCATTGGGTTCTTTATTCTTGCCCCCCAGGATGTGACCAGGTACCTACTTACTACTAGGTGAATAGGTACAGCAGTATTTCCACCCATGATGGGAACTGAATCATGGAGACTTAGTGTGTGAGGTGAGAGCAATGCCAACTGAGCCACCCTTAAAGAGTTAAGTACTTAAGTGTACACACAGGAAAAACACTCTTTTTAATGTACACTGTGATGATGGAAGCAATTTGTACAAAAATAATGGAGGCATGAGATTCTTCAAGTATATGTATATGACGTTAATGCACAACCAAGGTAAAGTACAAAAAGTGAGGAATGTTTCAAGAACAAGCTAAACAAAAAGTATTTGCAGTGTGTAAAAAAAATTCTGCATACCTCATACCCGTTACAATTTTTTAGTAAAATAGAATAAAAATTTAATATTAAATTTTATTCTACAGTAGAATATTTTAAACCTGTAATAATGTTGGTAGAATTACCGACAATATGTAAAGTAAAAGGACACAAGTGCAACTAATGTGACATTTTATTGTGGCAACGTTTCGCTCTCCAGGAGCTTTGTCAAGCCAATACAAACAGTATATGGACACAGAGGGTATATAAAGGCTCAGAGTGAGGTGCAATACTAGTGAGGTACCATTTCGATGTTCACTAGTGGTAGTAGTAGTAGTAGTAGTGACAATATGGTAGAGCAATTAATTCGTACATGAGTAAAAGGATATAAAAGCTATTACTTGGGTAACATAAAAATAGGTTGGACAAATATAGACTGGATAGAGAAGGCCTTTTTCAGTGTTCACTCTCTGTAATGTGCTTTGTGTAGTATAACAGGAGAGACTGTGTGATGGCAGGGTTTACTGTTTTCAGGAGGATTCTCGCTAAGACTTCAGAGATGGCGAAGCTGCCGTTGTTTTGTTTAATTGTATTCGAAACTACTATCAGTGCTGATTCGAGGCACTTGCGTCTGCGGAAATTAGTTTCTTTGATCACTAATTGGGCGTCCCTGAATTTCATGAGATGACTGGTGGAATTTCGGTGTTGTGCACAGGCGTTGTTCAAGTTATCGTTCCTACATGCGTAAATGTGTTCATTGAGGCGGGTGTCGAGGTTTCTTGCTGTTTCACCTACATAAATCTTGCCACAGCCTCCACAGGGTAGAGTGTAAACCCCTGCATTGACTGGTTCGTGGTGCTTTGATTTTGTCCTGGTTAGATCTTTTATTGAAGTGTCCATATACTGTTTGTATCGGCTTGACAAAGCTCCTGGAGAGCGAAACGTTGCCACAATAAAATGTCACATTAGTTGCACTTGTGTCCTTTTACTTTACATATTTTAAACTTTAAAATATTCTAAAAATCTAAATTGTTGCCACCTAAATTGTAACTTTACTTGCTTTTATAAAAACATATTTGTCCCCTCAAAGTTCTTTGAAGCTGGTGAGGGGCTCTTGATCTATGGAATTGAACTAATGCTTCAATTCCTTGAATCAAACCTGAATGCCTTCCATGCCCTGAGGCACTGCATGACCCAAGGGTTTAGTGCTCCCCCATGAATTTAATAAAAAAAATTTTACTTCACTGAATATCTTTTAAACAACCATTCATATTTACATTTTTTGTATTACTGTATGCAAGAACTATATTTAATGCAAGTATATACTACTAATAATAATAAACATCCACAATTATCATCACCCTTAAAGATAAATTTATTATAAGCTTTGCAAAAAATGCTGCATTTTTTCTAAATTTTATCGCTTACCTATGTGATGTTTATTTGTAAATAAATATTTAAAAATAAGCTATGCAATTATAATAAGTTTGTCTCCTGTGATTCATCAAGATGCCCTAACTAGATGTGTGCCCTTATTATTTCAACTCGAGAGCTGGAAAAAAAATTATTTAATTACTTTGCATTTCCCAGAAACAAAATGTTTTACCAAATAATTTTTTTATAGACTCTACATATGCTCACAGAATGATGAATATTTTCTCTTTACCTGAATTTTGGTCATCTGAGATATGCACTTAATGACTAATTTCTCTAGACTTAAGAGAAGGACACTGAACCCAACACCCAGGCTCAGCAACACGAATGCTGTGAAGACCTAGGGGAAAAAATATTTTGTGAGGGCCTTTTAACCCTTAAACAGTCCAAACAAATCGACGTTCAAATTCGTAGTGCTACAAAAGTAGATCTACTTTTTTTAGCATTTTCAAATGTAACAAAAAAAAATGTAGATAAAAGTTTTTTTTTACACATTTTCAAATGTAAAACAAAAAAGAAGATCTACATTTTTTTACATACTTTCAGATGTTGAAAAAACGTATACATGTATATACGTTTGGACCATTTAAGGGTTAATGTCCAATATTCAAATAAATTTTAAGAATATAGAGAATATATACAGTATTTCTGCAATTATGCTATATTTAAAAAGAATGTAAAGATTTGGTGAAACATGATAAGTAACTGCAATCCATTCATAACTATTTGTTAGAATAATATACTGTACAGTAGTTTGCAAATGTATTGGGGTTAATCATGTACTGTACCTGTTGAAAGCCAAGTGCAACTACTGGCTGATTAGAACACGAATAGGGTCGAGGGTACCACACATTTTTTAACTTCTGCAGTATCCCAGATTCACGGTATTTGTTGATGCTGCAACAGTAATAGAGTTTACTATGAGGAAAAAAAACAGAGTTTGACCAAAATTAGTGAAACATGCTGTTACTGTATTCTAGGAAGATATCTATTTGTTTTTACTTCATCAGCCATCCCCAACCAAGGTAAGGCGACTTCTAAAAAGGTAATGTTCCCCACCACTTTCAATTGCTGTCTTACCAAGAGTGTGTTGATACCACAATTCAGATGATCCTCCAAGTACAACATTGTGCCCCTTCTCTAGGACTTTAAGTCCAACTAACTGGTTCTCCCTGAATCACTTCATGAGTGTAACATTGCTCACACTCTTAACAGCAGTCAGCATTAAAACCTACTTTTCTCCACCCATTAGGATCTAATATACTCTCACAAGCCTGCTGGATGCTCTGGCCCATAGAACTCAAAACCTTTACTCCCTTCCTCCTAATGTTCCTAGGATGATCACTACCCTTCCTTCCACCCCAGATATACACACCTTCGTCATAACATGTTGCAATAACTTTTGAATGTGCAATCGATTAGAAATAGAAAATGGTTATCACTATCCACCGAATACTAGTACAGTTGATATCGAAGTCCAAAACTAATTTGCATCAATATTCATTATTACTTTAACTCTACAAACTGTCTGATAGAGCAAACATATTGCTATGTTTTAAGTATGAAAAACTAATAATATAATTATCATGTTTAGCACTACAACACTGTAGGTTGGAATATGCTGTGAAAGTTAGGGATGCACATGGGTTGGGGTGGGGGAGGGGTAAATGTTAGGAGAGATGAGGGTTATGCGAGTGTAAAATTGAAATCAGTTGCTGTAATAGGTTAGTTTCCGTTGAAAAAAAGTCAGTTTCTGTGTCAAAGCTGGGACCTTCAGTAAGGTCAGAGTGAGCGTGTTATGGCAGTGAAGTTGGCGAAGGTGTGGACTGACAGTGCTACCCAGCAGTTCTTGTGGAGAAGTACCTGTCATTCCATCATGTGGTACCCTCGAGTGACTCTTGTGTCCAATTCATAAGAGTGAGAGTGCAGTTTCCCCAACTTGACAGCAGTGGGAAGAAGGCCAGAATCTAGACCAAGATTTGATATCTAACAATTTATTGCCTACAATTTTTTCAGCAAGCTGCGGAGTTGCAATGCTCTCGCCTCACACAGTGTCCTTGGTTCAATTCCCAACATGGGTGGAAATGTTGGGAATGTTAACTTACACTTGCAGCCCTGTTCACCTAGCAGTAAGTAGGTACCTGGGTATTAGTCAACTGGTATGGGTTGCATCCTGGGACTAGATTGAAGGACCTCAATGGAAATGAGACAGTCATCAATGACACACTAACTTAAGGGTTATCTTAGGTGGTTAACCCTCCGGGTTAAAAATTCAAACAAATCTTATGTTACCCCTGTAGGAAACTGGGAGGTTGTGAATAGCTGACCACGTAACTGAGTGTTTGTTCAATGCCCTGAATATCGACGTGTCCAGGGACACAGCAAATAAAACTTCTTTGCATTTACTAGAAATGCAACAGGAAAAGGATGATGGGATGAGGTTAGTTGAATTTCTGGATAGCTTGTTGGAAGTTGGAAACCACCATAAATGATGAGACGGGTATGATAGCAGTGAAATTACTTGCTGACATTAGTAAATGATCTTTGAACACTCAGGAAAAAACAGCTACATATCTGACACCATCTAGAAAGTTAGAGCCATCAGTGTACATGGCTAATGCATGAGAATGAACATATTCATGAAAGAGACTATAAAACTGTAGTAGACAAGTGAGCTTTTAGGCATAAAGCAGTGAGGAGCAAACTTGAATCAACAGAATTTCCAAAGGAGGGAAAGAACTGTAAAAAGCATGTTGACCATAAAGAGAAGGCAAATTATGGGATTTTATTAGAAAGTGAAAATGTAGAGGAAAAAGGCATAATAAAGGAAAGAAGATAAAATAAATTAGTCTTACTAATATCTACAGGCAAGAAAGGCTACTTCCAGCAGCAAGACAGGATCAACATTCTGGGTAAGTGCTGTACTGTACACTTTTTTTTTTTCAACAAGTCGACCGTCTCACACCGAGGCAGGGTGACCCAAAAAAGAAAGAAAATCCCCAAAAAGAAAATACTTTCATCATCATTCAACACTTTCACCACACTCACACATTATCAGTTTTTGCAGAGGTGCTCAGAATACAACAGTTTAGAAGCATACACATATAAAGATACACAACATATCCCTCCAAACTGCCAATATCCCAAACCCCTCCTTTAAAGTGCAGGCACTGTACTTCCCATTTCCAGGACTCAAGTCCAACTATATGAAAATAACTGGTTTCACTGAATCCCTTCACTAAATATTACCCTGCTCACACTCCAACAGATCGTCAGGTCCCAAGTACCATTCGTCTCCATTCACTCCTATCTAACACGCTCATGCACGCTTGCTGGAAGTCCAAGTCCCTTGCCCACAAAACCTCCTTTACCCCCTCTCTCCAACCCTTTCGAGGACGACCCCTACCCCGCCTTCCTTCCCCTATAGATTTATATGCTTTCCATGTCATTCTACTTTGATCCATTCTCTCTAAATGACCAAACCACCTCAACAACCCCTCTTCTGCCCTCTGACTAATACTTTTATTAACTCCACACCTTTTCCTAATTTCCACACTCCGAATTTTCTGCATAATATTTACACCACACATTGCCCTTAAACAGGACATCTCCACTGCCTCCAACCATCTCCTCGCTGCTGCATTTACCACCCAAGCTTCACACCCATATAAGAGTGTTGGTACTACTATACTTTCATACATTCCCTTCTTTGCCTCCATAGATAACATTTTTTGACTCCACATATACCTCAACGCACCACTCACCTTTTTTCCCTCATCAATTCTATGATTAACCTCATCCTTGATAAATCCATCCGCCGACACGTTAACTCCCAAGTATCTGAAAACATTCACTTCTTCCATACTCCTCCTCCCCAATTTGATATCCAATTTTTCTTTATCTAAATCATTTGATACCCTCATCACCTTACCCTTTTCTATGTTCACTTTCAACTTTCTACCTATACACACATTCCCAAACTCATCCACTAACCTTTGCAATTTTTCTTTAGAATCTCCCATAAGCACAGTATCATCAGCAAAAAGTAACTGTGTCAATTCCCATTTTGAATTTGATTCCCCAAAATTTAATCCCACCCCTCTCCCGAACACCCTAGCATTTACTTCCTTTACAACCCCATCTATAAATATATTAAACAACCATGGTGACATTACACATCCCTGTCTAAGACCTACTTTTACCGGGAAGTAATCTCCCTCTCTTCTACACACCCTAACCTGAGCCTCACTATCTTCATAAAAACTCTTTACAGCATTTAATAACTTACCACCTATTCCATATACTTGCAACATCTGCCACATTGCTCCTCTATCCACTCTATCATATGCCTTTTCTAAATCCATAAATGCAATAAAAACTTCCCTACCTTTATCTAAATACTGTTCACATATATGCTTCAATGTAAGCACTTGATCTACGCATCCCCTACCCACTCTGAAACCTCCTTGCTCATCCGCAATCCTACATTCTGTCTTACCTCTAATTCTTTCAATTATAACCCTATCGTACACTTTTCCTGGTATACTCAGTAAACTTATTCCTCTATAATTTTTACAGTCTCTTTTGTCCCCTTTCCCTTTATATAAAGGGACTATACATGCTCTCCGCCAATCCCTAGGTACCTTCCCCTCTTTCATACATTTATTAAACAAAAGTACCAACCACTCCAACACTATATCCCCCCTGCTTTTAACATTTCTGTCATGATCCCATCAGTTCCAGCTGCTTTACCCCCTTTCATTCTACGTAATGCCTCACGTACCTCCCCCACACTTACATTCTGCTCTTCTTCACTCCTAAAAGATGGTATACCTCCCTGACCAGTGTATGAAATTACTGCCTCTCTTTCTTCCTTAACATTTAAAAGTTCCTCAAAATATTCTTGCCATCTACCTAATACCTCCCTCTCCCCATCTACTAACTCCCCTACTCTGTTTTTAACTGACAAATCCATACTTTCCCTAGGCTTTCTTAACTTGTACTGTACACAACATAGTTAAATAGTTTAGTTAGTTTAATGTTTATTATGCACCCCATACCCATTCTGTGGGCAGTAGTCAAAAGATTACAGAGGTACATAATTGGTTCAGTTAAATAGCTGTAATGTATTTTACATCCAGTATATTATTGTATTGTTTAATTAATATGTAGTATTCACTGTAGAAATGTTGCTTTATTATATAAGGAAATGAAAAGGAATCTTGAAGGGTAAAATATTTGGTAAAAATATAACTGAAATTAGAGGTGGAAAATAAATCCATGTTAATTTGTTTCTTATGGGGAAAATAGAAAGTACAGAGTACAAAATATTGAGTAAAAACACCATGGAGATAAAAGGCTCAAAATTATGGAATACCCTACCAGGAAGTTTTATAAGTTACCTATATCTGCCTACTGCTACGAAACTTAATAACAACCTGAACTTCATATGGTATTTGGGACCTGACGATCTGTTGGAGTGTGAGCAGGGTAATATTTAGTGAAGGATTCAGGGAAACTGGTTATTTTTATAGAGCCGGACTTGAGTCCTGGAAATGGGAAATATAATGCCTGCACCCTGAAGGAGGGGTTTCGGGATATTAGCAGTTTGGAGGGATATGTTGTGTCTCTTTATGCGTATGTATATGCTTCTAAACTGTTGTGTTCTGAGCACCTCTGCAAAAACAGTGATTATGTATGAATTAGGTGAAAGTGTTGAATGATGATGAAAGTATTTTCTTTTTGGGGTTTTTCTTTCTTTTTGGGTCACCCCCCCTCGGTGGATTGGGCCGACTTGTTAAAAAAAAAAAATAAAAGATTTTAAAAAATTTTAAAACCTCTCAATGCAACCGCTTACCCAAACCTCCACTCAGCATTCATACCAAACTTATTGTCAC